TTAGAAAAATCTTAGAAGGAAACATGATGATAAGATTTACTGCTAACCTCAAAGTCCTTCACGAAGTTCTTTTAACTATTATCCACATCAACTCATCTATATCTGCTTCTTCATATGAAGTTGTTGCAAGAGGTTTAGAAACTTGGTTTAGAAAAACCTCTGTGACTGAATCTCATATTCAGACTTGAATTGTTTTGGTGAAATAAACAATCATGGCATATATAGGACCAATTGACAGAATTTTAAGGAATAACCTTATTTGTCAAAACCTGCAATTATGTAAGTGATGATTGTTAAATATAAAATAGCAAACTAAATAATGAAAACCATGGGCAGCTGCTCTTTATTCCTTGGTCATGGAACACGCTAACTAATTTTTTTTTTTTCTCTAGTGCTATCTATCTTCAATCTAACTTTCCTGAGCAACCTGGACCTCTATTTCCTTCCCTCTTTGAAACTATATTTTATTCTTCATTGAGTCAAATGCTGAAATTTGTTGGCAAATCATAAAATAATCTGATGAAAATAGCAAATCATCTCAATGAAAGTCAGATGACCTGTTCTGGATTCCAGGCCATCATTGACTGACTGTATAACTATTGCTATGGTAGGTAAATTTGCTTTATACATTTTCCAAATGACATAATTTTAAGCCAGAGCCACTGATTTTTGGATAAGCACGGTCTCCTCTTGTAGTAATGAATCACTGAGAGTTGGCTATCACTGAGAGTTGGCTAATCAGTGGTATTTTCTGACCAGTGATTGTGGCAGCCCCTGACCTTCAATGCTAACAACACTGAGGCATAGCTGGTCAAGATATGGTCTGGATGCCTGGGGTGGAGTAAAGTTCTTTGTGTCACATGGACATGTGGCATTTTACTTGTTATCCCTAAACCTTCACCAGCTGTGTTTATTGGCCTTGTTGCGTATCAACTTGTTATGGATATTCCTGCCAGAAACTGTTGAGATGGGTATAAGATAGTGAACAAATGCAAATTCCAGTAATGAACCGTCTTATGATGGCAAGCTATAGAACTTGACATGTCATTTCTAGGTTAAGTGTTGATTTTTTTTTTTTTTGTGGGACCCTCGCCAGCGGCCAGGGAATGAATAGGCGCTGCAGAGGCTGCAGGCAGCCTCGCAGCCCAGCGCTCAACCACTGCGCCACCAGGGGAGGCCCAGGTTAAGTGTTGATTTTGAAGTGGCTTTTGACTCAAGATAGTCCCTGCTTCTTCATAGCTGATTTCATAACCAGTTGTCAAATGATAATTTGATGAGATTAAATTATGTTTTCTAGAGAAATAAACTTGCATTATCACACTTGAAAACTTTTTATATTACATCTGTAATTCTGGATATTTTACATAGAAATCAAAGCTGCATGTGCTAAGATTTTAATATTTATTAATGAGGTCTCCTTTGGTTCTTTTCAGAAGGCTCACAAATAAAGGATTTCATTTCAAGTTAAAATCAGCATAATAAGATGTGTTTTGAAAGATAATAAAAACTGACTTATTTATCAAGAAAGGAGAAACTTGGAAAACCAAGGAAGAGAAAGCAGGATGAAGGACATGGGAAAAACAGGACAATTAAGCAATTGTAACAATTAAAAAAAATTGTTCTGCAAAAAGTGAGAGGGAGGAACTTTCTTTTTCAAGTTTAGCAGATAATAGTGTCCTACACATTTTTTGATTCATATTTATTATTGTATTGCTGCTAGTTTTGCTACAGCAGATAAATTCATGTGCTGAATCCAAGTATCTCAAGGTCAAGGAAAGTCTAAAATACTGAAAATTTTAGGAATCAAAATGCAGGGATTTCTTTTTGCCTTTTTGTTGTTAGGTTTGCACCTGTGTTTGCAAATGTGTTTCAGGTTCTATTTCTGGAAATTCAATAATATCCTGGAAGTGCTGTAAAAATGAATTGAGGTGATAGATGTGGAGAAAAACGATTGCTGTTACTATTATTGTTCAAGTCAATTAGTGACAGTTCAAATGGAGGGAGCTTTATGGGAAGGTTGTTATTGGTTGTATCTTCCTTGAGCCATACAATGACAGGGCTCGGCGATTCTAGTCTGTGCCCTTCCTTCTATAGCAGGAAAATTAAGGGCAAGAAAAGTGAGATGATTTGTTCAAGACCACTTGAAAAATTAGTAAGAGTCACTAGTTTCTTAGGGAGACCAAATATCAGTGGGTGTAAGCATGCAGATTTTGAAATTGGACTTTTTGAGCTAAAACCATGGTTCCCACTTTCCAGTTATATGTTCTTAAATAAGTTGTCTAATTCCCCTGGGATTTATCTTCCTATATTTCTATATATCCTTATATCTCTATCTCTCTATATCTATAGCATGGAGATATAGAGGTATTACTGCCTTCATGGATTTGATTTACCTATCTCATAAAGTGATTATTTATGATAACGTGTAATTTTCAACATACCTGAAGTAATTAAATGTTTAGTTGGGTAATACCTTGTTAAGTTATCAGTAAATGTTAGCTGTATTTAGTTATTATTAAAAAACTGACATTTCATATTTGCTCAAATGTTGATGGCAATAAAACTGATTCAAAGTTCTAAAGGGCATGTGACATCATTTATGATGTAAGAAACTTATGTCTGATTCAGGGGTCCAGGAATGATGCCTGAATAGTCAGATAGCAAAGAAAAGTTGTAACAGCTGGTTATCATAATGGCTGGTTGCAAAGTTAGCCAAATAGGGGCATTTTTGATGGTGCGGTTATGGAAGAGCAAATTGTCTCTGAGGGGGTTTTTCTACAAGTTTGGGGTCTATATCAAAGGTCCTAGGAATTGCTGGGTATAAGCACTGGAGTAAGAGTATCACAAAAATAACCCAAACATGGAATCCTCCAGGAGAGTTACGTAAGACAATTTTATTGTTTCCATAAGACAATTTTTTATAGTGTTAGTGAAGTAATATTGTTTTTGCTCACTTTACTTTTTTTCCTTTCCTCCAACCTCAGAGGAGGGAATTAGAATTAAAAACTGGTGTATGAGAGATAAAAATGAATGATTAAAAGAAGAGAATTGTATTCTGTTGCTTTTGGATGGAATGTCTGTGTATGTCTACTAAGTTCATGCGGTCTAATGTGTCATTTGAGGTCAATTAGTTTTTTTATTTTTTTGGTCTGAATGTTCTATCTATTGATAAATGTGGAATATGAGTCTCTACTTTTGTAACTGCTATTTCTCCCTTTAGACCTCTTAATATGCTTTATATATTGAGGAACAACTGTTAGGTGGATAAATATTTACAAATGCTATAACCCTTTTAGGATTGATCTTTTTATCATTATGTAATTACCTTCTTTTCTCTTATTATGGTTTTTTAAAAAAAAATTTTGTCAGATACAAATTTAGTCATCCTCACTCTTTATTGGTTTGCATGTGCATGAAGTATCTTTTTCCATCCCTTCAGTTTCAACCTCTATGTGTATTTACATCTGAAATGAGTCTCTTGTAGGCAACATGTAAATAGGCCTTGTTTTTTTAATCCATCCAGTCACTCTGTCACTTGACAGGAAAATTTAATCCATTCATATTTAAAGTGTAGGTATGTATCTGCTTATTGTATTGCCATTTTGTTAATTATTTTCCACTGTTTCGTAATTCCACTGTTCCTTTCTTCTGCTTTTGCTCTCTTCCCTTTCAATTTGATGACTTCTGTAGTAGGATGCCTGTACTGCATACATGTTTCCAGAGTCCCTTCCTCTTTTGTGTGTCTTCTGTAGGTTATTTTGTTATGTGAGCTATAACATAACTTATAACTTAAGTTTGTTTACATTCTAAAGCTCTACATTTTACCCCCAACCCATGTTTTATATTCTTTATTAAGTTCATTTTGGCTTACATAATTTCCATAATAGATGTGTAGGACCCCCACTTCAGGCATTGTTGTTATAGTGCACTCACCATCAAAGAACCTATAGCCACCACCACAGACCCTTGTGCTCCCTGCCTTCTGTAGTCTCACCTCTGCCCTTGCCCCTCTGGTTGGCTGCTGGATGCTTCTTTCCTTAGAGGCTAGGAACAGAGTGGGAATCTGAAGTCCCAGGCTGGTTCATGCCTGCCTTATGTCTTCTTTAAGGGTCCCCCACCCTACTTGATACCTGCCTGATTGGACCATTATCAGTTCTAAGTGACCAACTGGATCATTTTAGGACCAATCGACCTATTTGGTGCTGAATAATTTTAATGGGCTCATGAACATGATTGGTTCATTTTGCTAAAATCCAGGCACCAAATACTAAAAGGCTAGTGCTGTCCACCATCAAGCCCCGCCAATGCCAGACCTCTGTGTAGAGGTCCTGGAGGCCGCAAGATGGCTTGGGTGCTGCCCAGAGACAGCGTTCTGGCCAACCAGCTGGACACTCCTGCTGCGGCTCCAGCTCCAGAACGATTGGCACCTATGGGAGGAGCCGCGCACAGGCCGCCACTTCTGGCGCATGCGCGGTTTTCCAAGTGGCTAGACCTGGCCGCTTAGCCGCCACCTGGAAAGGGCCAGTCTTGAGCCCCGCAGTCAGTCCACGCACGCTGTGGGACATTGGCTTCAGTCTCAGTTAACTATCTTCAGTGAGAACCCAGTAACCAGGCTCACCCTCTTAGGGCAAACGAGGGTGGCTACCCAGAGGCCTGTCAGTTGGAGGAGTGATATTATCAAGGGGCCTCAGACTCCATTTGTTTTCGTGGATGGACTGAGAGAAACTTTGCAGTAGCGTACCCCCTTGAATATAGGCGCCTCGGCAGGAGGATAATAATAGGATATGTGTATGATAATGCACACTTTGTAACTTAGAACAACCCGACATTAGGAAAAGTTATAATGAACTAAATATAGGACCTAATACTTCATCCTTCTGATTAGTGGAAGCAGCCTTCTGAGGGTTCAATAACTGAGACTTGGCAGAGGATAAGTTAAAATAGGAAACTACCCAACTGGTAGTTGCTTTTCAGAGTTGGTCAAGGAGAAGACCAGGAGGGGACAGTCCTGGAGGATGACCTCTGGTGAGTACCTCTGAGCTCCAACCTGGGGGACTCCAGCCCCTCAAGTTGAAAACAAATCAGGGTGTCACATGCCCAAAGGAGGGGTACATGAAGGGTGAGTCCTCCTTCTGTCCCCAGAGAGAAAGGTAGTCAGCCTGCCTCAAATCTCTAGAGGCACCAGATGGCCAGATTCCATTATGATTGAAGGCATCAAGGGGCTCCTCAGAAAAATTCCTAGCAATCAGATTCCCATCACCCCAGAGGAACACTGGCTGACCTTATGCTTAGGGGACAGACTCGTTGGTTTTATAGTCAACGCAGGACCCACCTACTCAGTTTTGAACATAGAGAAAGAAACTTTATCCTCTGACCTTGTTCAATGGCTGAAATTTCAGGAAAATAACAATCCAAGAGCCGTTTTCAACATTTAGAATTAGTTACAAGGAAAATAGTTAAAGCATTCTTTCCTGTAGGTACCAGAATGCCCAGTCTCCCTTGAGGAAGAGAACCAGTCCACTCTCCAGCTGGCTGGCACTGGTATTCAGTACTTGATCTAAAGGATTTCCCTACACTCCAGATCCCAGGAATTATTTGTCTTTGAATGGGAGGGTCCCAAAACTAGTCACAAAATGGACTTGACTATGTCCCATTAGGGGGTTAAAAACTCTCCAGCTTTCTCCAGGTCACGATAGTGGCCTGGGATCTATGGGTTCTGGTCTTGCCCACTTCTTTAGTGTCACAATATGTGAATGACATTTTGATGGTGAGTGCCTTACATACTGTCTCTAATTACATATTTGTCTCTAATACACCAAGGTTCAGGATCATTTAGCAAAGAAGGGATATAGGTCTCTAGGAACAAAACTCAGATTACCCAAGAAAGAGCTGTGTATCTAGGCTTTATAACTGGAAAGGGGAACAGAAGCCTGTCCACATATTGAAAGGAAGTTATCATCCAGGTTTCTATTCTGAAAACTAATAAACACCTATGGGAATTCTTGGAAGGATTGTGTTGAATTTAGATTTCCAATTTCAGTGTAATAGATAAACCTCTGCATCAGGCGCTGCAAGGTAGGAAGGAAATCCTCCTCCAGTAAAACCACTTGGAGCACAGAGGGACTGGAGTTCTTCACATGTACTGCCTACTTTGGGAAGCTCACCCAGATTCTGTGGGCCAATGGAAACTTGCCTAATCTGATTCAGGTTGTGCTCCATCCCCAAAGAATAAGAGACTTTTAAAAAGTTAGAGAATAGGCAGTCCATAAACTACCTCTCCAAAATGGGAAGGGGCATTTATGATTTCCTTGACTATCTACTCTGCTCTTACATTACAGGGGATGTAACTCTGGATCCAACATATTAGACATGAAGTATGCTGTTACCCTGGATGACACCCAAGAACTCATGGACTTGTGGTTTTCCTGTGAGCTAATTCCTGACCTGAAACTGCTATTTATAGGAAGACACCAAAAGTAATTCCATCCTAGGAATGAATGGAAAAGGTGGGTGGCTAACTTCCTTCTAGTCTGCTGTATACTGCTGTTGTTTTTACTCTGTAGTAAATGAGTCCTGATCCCTATGCTTTTGGAAGTTCCAGATGGTCTTTTCCAGATGTATGACCAACTAGGAACTCAGCAGGGGTTGTCCAGGATTATTTCTAGTCATTCAATTGAAATTCCATTCCTATACAGTGATGTCACCCCCTTTAACAGGAAGTCGCTGCCGAAGCAGCAGACATTCCTTCTTAAGCCCCCTCAAGAATGAGGAGTGGAATGCAATGGTGTTTTCTGTAGTTACCTGTAGTTTCTGACTACACACTGTGGACATAGGTCTAGAGTTCTCAGAAGAAGGAGGAGTGGCTGTGTCCTCAGTCTTTCTAGAGTCTGATGCCCAGAAATCTTCTGCTGAAAAGTATATGAGGGTGATGTGGCCACTCTTTCCCCTACCCTGGGACTAGACAGCTTCCCTTGTTTGCAGACTCTGTGAGGTATACCCCCAGTCTCTGGTAAGCCTGTGATTTAGAAGCCCCTGTGGAAATGTCTTTGTATCTTTGTATACAATAAGCCTGGCACTGCTGCTCTTTCACCAACAATGCCAACAATGGAGCCAGACAGGTACCCATATTTCAGTTTCTTTTTGAGTGCAGGTGGAGGTCATGAGGGCCAGGGGGATGTGGTACACATGTCCTCAGTCTCTGGGAAGTGTGTTGTCTAGAATCCCACTGGGGAAAAGTCTATGTGCATTACATACTATATGGCAGCCCTAAAGAAGCTACCAAGCAGACCTAATACACTGGCCTCCCATAGCCTCCCAGTAAGTGTATTGGAGGTCATGCAAACAAGGGGGGGAGGGGGGAGTGGTAAATATCTTACTGGGTTCTCCCAGGTTGTCAAATACATTCCTGGGAACCTGGAGCCATGCTGGGGATGACCATATGGCTCTTTCCACTGTGAAACTCAGTCTCTGGTCACCTAGGTGTCTGTTGAACTGTGGGCCAGACTATGCTCTTGTTGGGAGAACCTGGGGCATTGTTGGGGGAAGGGCTGAAATAGCCATGCCAGTAAACTGGCACTATTCCTGACTTATTTTGTTTCTCAGTCTTTCCTTCCTTTTTTGATGATTTCTGGCTCCTATTATTATTGAGACATTGGTCCTCACTTCCCTTTCTCCATTCTGGTATTCTGGTATTCCAGAGGGAAACGATTACTGAATGATCCTGTCTGTCTGCAATATTCCACTAATTCCTAGATAATTTTCTCTTTTTCATATTAATGGTAGAGCATTTAAGCCAAACATTCTTAAAATGTTGAAAGACTACAGAATCAAAATTTTCCAACTAGACAGATTTTTTTAGAGTTTGTGAATGTGGAGTGTAGGTGTGTTTTTATTTTTAATCCCCTGTAGCATTCCATCAGGGTCATGTACATAGACAATCATCAGTGAATTCTTCTGTTTGAATAATCAAGATCACATTTGATGACATAGTATTTCAGGCTGAGGATTAGTTTATCCATCATATTACTCATAGCTCCTATAAAGACTTTTCATATAGTGCATGTTATAACCATGTCTGGGTGGTTCTTTGGTCATGTCTGGAGCTTTAAAGGTTTTGATCAAGGACAGAACCTTGGGAAATGTTTCTATAAGGGTGCAGACCCTGGAAGAGGACAGAGAAGTAGCCACAAAGCAAGGGCATTCCCACAGGTAGACTGCAGGTAGTCACTGTTTGCCTCCCATGTGCTCCCCTTGGCAGTGGAATAGGAAAAGAAAAATATCAGAAAAACAGGTGGAGTTAGGTACATTAATGTGGAAAGATACTTGATTATAGAGATTAATTCTGGGTGTCTTTGAGGAGAGTTATTTCAGTAGAAATGAGAAAGACAGATTGTGATGGATTTGAGTACCAGAGACAATGGATATGTAAGTTTGACTGAGAAAGGAAACATAATCATAATCATAAGAGGGACAAAATCCTCTGTGAAGGGATTCTCAAATGATAAGTACAAAATATCTTTAAGTAAAAAGGAAAGAGGAGAAAAAAAGATAAGATTTTCAGATTCTAAATACATTCCATTTGGAGGGTGTGTTAATAAAGCCATGACCAAAGTTTCAGTTGTCTTTTAGGCCAGTTAGTCTTACATAATGAGTGCTTTGTTTTTTGTCCACAGCTATACCCTTGACCTTGGGGAAACCGTTTACAATTACATAGTTTTTTGACACAAGGAAAGTCAAGCAGGCATGAATTGTGAATATTTTAATGAAGACCCAGGACAATACCTAAAAGGAAATTTGAATCTCTCCCCTATAAATCTGGTGATAGTGAAGTGCACTAGAACCTACTAGGCTTGTTTAGAAAAAATATGGATTGCAATCCCTCTCTTTTACATGTCCCCTTAATACTATCAGAACATTTCAGTTTAATTCAATATCCTGTTTGCCTATAGAGTTGGAAGTAACACAAAAACCCCTATTAAGATAATTTGCCCTATCTTTTAATAAATATATAATCGCTGCACAAACATTGCATGATAGGGAAGAAGCAGTAAGCCTGGTTCAAGCATTTGTTTTTCATTTAACAAACATTTATTGGATGCCTATTTCTGCCAGACTCTGAACTAGGTAAGGGGATACAGAAGTTAAGGAGACAGAGAAAAATGTGGATAGAGAAAAACAGGAAAAAAAAAACAGAAAACACATAAATAAGATTTGTAAGGATTGTGATAAATTTTATAAAGGAAATAAAGTAGATAATAAATTTGAGTAACTGAAGGTAGCCTCTGTAGAGAAAGTGGATATGAAAAGAACTCTCTCTTAGTTTGGATTCCTCCAGAAACAAACTTGAGCAGAAGAATGAGATACATACTTGAGTAGAAGTAGTTCATTTAGAGGTAACCTCAGAAATCACTAGAAGGGAAGTAAGATGAGGGCAAAGAGTCAATCAAGTTTGCATTGCCAACCATGTTATTACTTGGGGCAACTGCAGCTGAATACCCTTGGGGAGCTCTTAAACATGGTGTTGATCATGATTCTCCACATTATTCCATCTAAGTGGAATGGAGGTTGGATATTTATAGAACCATAACTGTCATTTATGGGATGGAGATTGCTGGGGATGGAGGGCATGGAAGAGTGTTTGCCTTGGCAATTGCATGGCTGCTACATATATGGTCAGAGAAAAGGCCTCAGTTAAAGAAATGTACATGCAATTAGTACATGGTAAGGGTGAGAAGATGTAGGGGGGAAGTATGGCATCTGCCACAGCTTTAAGAAGATGACATTTGAGTAGAATCAGAATGACATCACCACATGAAGAGTTCAAAGAGATGAATACCTGGAAGAGGAAACATAAAATGGAAAGATAAAGAGGTAGAAAAGGATTTACGTATTTGAGACTAAAACACAGAATAGTGTGCGTATGTGTTGAGGGTTAGGGAAGAGTTGCATGTGATGAAATAGGTTGGATGATCCAAACCAAGTGGGAGTTTAAAGAACAGAGGAACAGGTTTAGTAGTTATTCCAAAAACAATGGGGCTCAATTAAAAACTTAGACAAGGGAATGACATTAATAAAAACCATTGACGTCTGTGGGCTTAATAAATTAGAAAAGGACAGAGTGTTGACAACGAGGATGGGAATAAATGAATGTTTGATGTGTGAAAAAAGAATATTTAGAAATAGAATTCAAGGAACATGCTTTATAAAAGGGTGAAATATTTGAAGGACAAAGGGATGATTTAGATGCTTGGTTTAAGCACCAAGCAGATGGTGGTGGTGCCATTTCTTGAGACAATGAAGACTGGGGTAGGAAAAGTTTGAGCAAAAAATTAGGTTTGTTCATGATAGCTACTGGACATCCATTAGGAGGTGTCAAATAAGCATTTGGTGGGTGAGTCTAGAATTCAAGAGAGAACTGAATTTGACATATGTGTCTGGAGATTACCAACTCTCTTGATAGTTAGACTTTAGAACTATGGGACCAGTTTAGCTCACATAGGAAGATAGCAGAGATAGAAAAGAGGATAGATTGTGCAGTAAAACTCAAGAAACACAGCTATCTGAAGATCATTTGGAAGAATCAGTAACAGTGACTAAAAACGAAGAACCTGTGAGCCAGAAAAAAACCTCAACAATTAAAGTGTACTGTCATGGATAATGTATTGATCAGTGCATCTTGGAGGCAAAAGTGATTATCAGTTAAAAAAAATCTCAAGCAAAAAAAGGGGATTGTTGAATGGTGCCACTGATATTTCTAACATTACTTAGCTGCAGGCATGGCTAGATCTAAGTGTTCGAATGATGTCATTTTGTTTGGCTCTATTTTTTTGTTTGTTTTTAGGTAGGCTCTTTCTGCATGGTCACAATATGTTCTTCTGATATTTTGTTATTGTTAAAATGTGGCAAACAATAGTACTTAATCAGAAAGTTAATATGAATATTAGGTGAATTAATATTTCTAAAGTCTTTAGAAGTTAATGTCCCCCGATAGCCATATGCCAGGGAAATCCCAGTTTCTTTTCCTTGCTCACACTTAAGCTATACTCAATAATCACTTGGCCTGACATCATATGCCTCGTCATACTTTTCCCTTCCTCTTTAATGAATCACTTGCACAGGATCTGTTTCTGAACATATAAGGTACCCAGTCTTGACATTTTTATTTAAACTGAGAACAATGTTCAATTTTTGCTAGTTTGTAAATATTCACTTCAGTGACAACTAATTTACTATAATTTTATTTCCTTTTTACATTTTATTTTTTCTTAAAATTTCTTTTCATTATTTCATTATCATATCCTGTTGTCATAACCTTAATATTTTCAACATTATCGGTCATCCTCATGAAGTCTCTTTAATCTAGGGTATACTTCCCAGAGGCCTTCATTGCCTTAATCTGGCGTTCTTTAGACCTTCATATTTGCTGTTCTCTCTCTTAAATGTGAAAACTTTAGTTATTATTTTGTCCAAATCTTTAGTTATTATTTTGAAATTTCCAAAAATGATG